GTGTGTGTGTGTGTGTGTGTGTGTGTGTGTGTGTGTGTGTGTGTGTGTGTGTGTGCATACAGATTGTAAGCACACAAGATAAAGAATTGGTCGTCCCCTTCAGCTCATTGTTTCCTGGAAATGAGTACATTGCCAGAGCAGGATGGACCCGTGATGGAAAATAGTGAGTACTCTTAAAAAAAGAAAATCTTTTTTTTTTGTGAAGCTGGAAATAAAACAAATGGACTTTTAATGTTTTGATTCTTTATGTTTACAATAGGTTTMTTCTTATGTTTGTAATTTCTTTCCTTTTAATAAGATTTTAAAGACATGCAGATTTTTGTCTGCCCTGTGTTCTAGTGGTTGGGCAGTGCTGTTAGATCGCAGTCAGAGGAAACTGCAGCTGGTTCTGCTGCCTCTAGCCCTCTTCATTCCCGTCACAGAAGACCCAGCTGTGAAGCAGAAGTATCTGGAGGCCGTGTCCAGCAGCACACAACCATATATTATCTATGAGGAGACCACTGACATCTGGATCAATGTGAGGAACTTTCTGTGGCATTAAAATGTTAATAATTAAACACTTATTTAATAAGTGTTTATAACTAAGATTTTTTTTCCCTTTGTCAAGGTTCATGATATATTCTATCCCTTTATTCAAACAACAGAAGAGGAGTTTACTTTCCTTTGGGTAAATGAATCTAAAACGGGTTTCAGCCACTTGTATAAAATAACAACACTGTTACAAGCAGGCTGCCACTGTTGGACAGAGAGCTACAGTCACCTCCAGGGTAAGGGATGACTACATGTTCCTGCATTTGCTTGAAATAATACAGATGTGCCAGTAATTGTACATTTGAAAGATAAGAATATATTTTTCCCTCATCTGTGAGGGGATGTCATGAAGTATGTTGAYTGTTACCTATTTCATCAGGTAACTTTAAAGGTGCAATCAAGGAGGAAGTTACGCTGACCAGTGGAGAGTGGGAGGTGCTGGCAAGACACGGTTCCAAGGTAATAATAATAATAATAATGATAATGATAATGATAATGATAATGATAATAATAATAATAATAATAATAATAATACATACATACTTAAAGATGGCATGTATCAAAATGTCACAGGTTGCTAGAGTGCAGTGACAAAGCTCTTGAGTAATTCTAAAAGCAGTCCTATAGTTTTACATACCAATATTTAACTTGTTTGGAATAGTTTAATATTATAATCGTAGGAAGTTCACCTTCAATTTAATGTGGATATTTTACATATCAGAACATTATAAAACATCCTAAATCATTAGTTATTGTAGTGTTTCCCCTACCATTCCCCTACCATTGAGGGCAGCCCCCCACCCCCCAAAAAAAGAACTGCCCCATCCAAGTGTGTGTGTG